AATTACCAAAGCTATGCTTATTTTCTAAAAAATCTTACTCTGCAGTGTAGCAGAGAAAATAAGTTTGATTCACATACGCCGGCACTTGTTTTCTGACTAATCTACGGGCTGGTGGAGGGAAGAGCGCAGGGGAATATCCGCGGTTTTAACACGGCGATCGATCGATGGCGTTGAGGTGGCTAGCATGTGAAGTGCAACTTCTGTTAGTTGGGAATTTTTCTCTGCATCGAGAGGAACTCTAGATAAAATGTGTGACTCTGATACTAAGAGATTTCTCCTGCACGTTCATGTGTTTTTCGTGGTTTTGATGAAGTGAAAACAAATTGAGCAGCCGATGTAGAATATTTTATAAGATTTTGGATTTTGCAGCCTTAATTTTGGTTGTTTTAGAAAAACGGCCACGTAGTGCAGCAGGGAGAGATTTGAGTTTTCTATGATTACCAACACTTCGATGAAAGGTTCTTGTCCAGCGTAAGAAGTGGTTTCTTCATCACGTGCCGTCTAACGGAAAAGAACCGTGCAATTCTGTCGGATATCCATAGAATCCTTAGTTGATCAGCGTCAGGTTGCACCACTAAAGTTTGTTTCTCTGAGATGAACAAACAACATCACAATTATCATTTGAAATCATTCACTTTCGTTTTTTTTTGGAGTCATTGCAATACTCGTCTCTTCTCATATTCATATAGCTTTTGGTCGACTCGTACAAATCTATCTTCTCTTTATACCCAATATGTGGAGTACTGTGCATAAACGTTTGCGTTAGCCGGCATTCGAAACCAGATCCCACTCTTTCCGGGAGCGTATGCTAACCGTTGCACTACCGACGCTCGCTTTCCACAGCACTCTTATTTACGCTACAACGCGTTGTCTGCCAACAGCTAACCGTCTACGTAAACGAGGTCCATTCCATGAAGGCAAACTCGTTGCAGTCTGCGGAGACAGATGACGTTGCCCCTAAACACGTACGTCTGTCGTTTGCATGGTCTTCCAAGAGATTTCTTGCATTCTCTTGAAGTCCACTCTACTGTTCTTTTCGTCCATCTGTCATCTGTTCACCTTATTAGGTGACCGCCCCATCTGTGCTTCGCTATCGGTATGTATATTTCTGAATGAGAAATTGGGATAGCTTCCGAATATCGGAAGTGCCCAAACAGGCTAAACGTTGTGAGTGCCAGTTAACATTCAGAGACTTCGCTCAAGCGCCCTATAAGTACTACGCAGACTTCTTGACGTGGTTATGGTATCAGCTCACGCTTCTGCTGCATAGCAGAGCATTGGGAAGACTGAATCGAAAAGGTGAGGACGGAGCTTGGATGGGATCCGTTATATAGTCAGTGGCTTCTACGAGAGTTCCAAATGCGGCCCATGCTGCTCACCGTCTTCTGTCTAGTTTCCTCCTTCATGTTGTTCTCCATGCTCATTGAACGTCCAAGGTGCACGTACAAGGTGGTTTCCCCAATCACAAAACCATCGAATTTGAATCGCGTGTCTTTGCATCATGGATTCTTCACGATTTTCGCTGCTGAAGAAAATTATTAACCAGAAATATTAGGATTGAAGAGGAAGTTCCCTAACAGAGGGCCGAAAATTCAAAATTTATACAAATGCAATAAAATACAACAATAATTATTCTTTAGAATAAAAACCATCTTTACCCACGATTTTCAGCCGACGATCTGCATGGTTCCAAATTTACTCGAATTGCCATTTGCTCGGCTTTGAATCAAAAAAACTCCTCACGTGCTTTTCTAAGTTGATCAAATGTTGGGGTTTACACAAAATATGTATTATTGAGCGGAAAAGAAAATAAGGGGACGCGCATCATCTGGACTACAGGTTGGACGTGGCAAGATCCCGTCTCTTTCCAATTCTCCAAACTTTTCCATAGTTTTCTTTGCGCTGTAAGGTTTGGCATTGTCTTGCTGAAACAGCGCGCTTCTGACGCAACATTGTCGGGTACTATTCCTATAACTAGGGTTACCGTAGGCTTTTCTTATAGAAATGTTCCTGAGATATTCCCATGAATTTGCGTATCCGGAGTGTGTGTGACAAACATAAAATTTGATTTTTTCGTTGGTGTTAAAGAACTTTTCCTCAATCTAATAATTTTGGAAAGTTTAAAACGTCTTCTCAAAAATTACATGTGGTGTATACTTATTGCTAATGATACACAATGTTCTGCTCTAAACCTCTAATTGAGACCATTTCAAAGAATTTCAGCTGCATTTTTTTTCTTAGTATTCACGTTGATGAGGTTTAACTATTCTGTGACAGCAATCATTTCCGCATATTACACTCATCGGAACCCGGTGGTCATAAAAATACAATCTGGATGCGCATTGAAATCGAAATATAACGGTTCGAAAGCCCACGCTAGTCATAGTGTGTCAAATTTCAATTCACTCTTCGCATATGAAATGACGGCGATGTACAAAATTGAGCTCGAAGTTTTGAAACGCTATCGCTAGAAGCGACAACTTGTTCGATAAGAGATGCTGCGAAGGAAATCTGTGGTGACGAGGTGAAGGAATGTGAGCCATGTAACTTCTACTGAAAGTGGTACAAACGATTGGAAAATAATGATTTTAATTACGAAGACCTTTAAGCCGTTCCGGAAGACCATTCAAAGCCCAAGGAATGGTATTTCGAGCAGATCCGGAAGGTTGCAGATCGTCGGCAAAAGACTGTGGATAATGGTGGTCATTATTTTTAGGAATAATTATTGCTGTTTTTCATTGAATTTATGAAAAAACTTTGAATTTTCAGCGAGTGTTAGAGAAGTTTTTCCTCAACCTATATAATGGGTGGAAACAATAGCGAAACCCCTTCCCTCCCCCCACTGCTCAGATCACCGAAACATAATCTGCTCTTTTGGTGAATAAAGAATAGGATGGTTGAGTAGCTTGGTGTCTGAAAAATGTTTTGAAATTTTTTATGACTGTTCCGTATGTAGTTTACAAGCTCTTTTCAACAATATAGTGACATAGAACAATCCAGTCATTTTTATGCTCACTTGTTAGAAGAATTAGCCTCAAATCATCACACAAGCCCTGCAATATTATCTCTGCATTCACTCGATAGCGTACCCGTTCCCAAAAGTCATACGGCATTTCACACCCTATGGAGGAGTCAACTCGAAAAATTATGCACAACTAATTTTTCATTCGGATGATGCTCTTCAATTCTTGCAACACGTTATGTGGTAAAATCGAAATAGATGGAGAATACCGCTTGCCTTTAACCTACCAAAGCTTCTTGAAGTTTAGTGCTGCTCATATGTGGTTTCGAGAGAAGGTCAGCCTGGACACTTCTGATGTTTTCATCGCTCAAAAGCGTTACCATTCCTTAGTGAACTATTCCTGTTGAGTTGGTGAATGCTGAGATCTTGTTTTCAGCTACCTGATATGCGATGATTTGGAATATTTCGACTTCGATTCCTTTACATGTAGAGGATACATCCACCTACAACGGATTACCTGAACCGAAAGACATCGTGCTACTGATGAGCTGTAATGCCGAAACATGTGTCCTAGCAATGCATAAGTGCCATAACGTACTTTATAGAAACTCAAGATATGTTATCAAATTATAACTTTCTTTCAACATAATCGCGGAAATGGGCATTGATCATATTACAACGTTTTTCAGTAAACTCTGCTATCGTGTAAAGTTGATTTGTCGTTTTCTTGTGTTCAGTCGAGTTTGCTATTCAGTTGTGAAAGACCTCAGCCAAGTATACCATTATTCTAAGCTTTGTACTTTTCATCAAACAGCCAGATTGCTGCTAACTAATGACATCAGGCGGTTAGCAAATTAATGTTGGATTTCAATCTGTGTTTCTAGAGTGCCACATACGAATTCAGATTAGGCGTTATATGAGGAAGATATAACTTTTAGGATTCATACAGTCTCATCAACGAGAAGCAAGTTGTTCATAGCACTTTTCTGAAATTTTGAACTAACAATAGCGACGATGTCCTTGAAGGTGTCTCCTTCTCTCGGTTTTGTTCCTGGATCTCCGGTTTATTTCTGAAGCATTTCTCGCATGGGATAATGTCAAATTGCTTGAAGAAATTGTAGTCGTCAGAAGATAATCTGAAGAGTTCCGTGATTGAGGCAGAATTGCGTAACACACCGCGCTCAACCTTTGCAAACTCTGCCGGTTGTAGGAATCGTCGGCTGTCGTTGTCGTGAAGAATTAGCTCTTTTCTGTAGACGAATACAACACGCAACCGTCGAAGTAGCCAGTACACCTCGATGATTTGCAGGACGTGCCTTTCACTGCAGTATGTTACCGAATATAATAAGCCTCAAGGTATCAAATCAGCAGCAAACCACAGGACTATTGACTGGCGATGTCTTAAAATGGCGATTTCTTTTCTAGTCATCAATTGACTCTCTATAACTTGCTCGGATACAATCTATAGTCGCCGTGACGAAGAGATTGAGAGGCTTTACCTTCTTTGAATCTTCAATGTTGAGCTAGATATTGGGACGCTTTTGTTCGTGATTGAGTGACAAACCACAGAAATGTGCATGTTGTGGAAAGTTGTTTTACTACGAAACCTGTTCCAACAAATGTCTAGATTTATTGATTGTGGTTGAAAATCCCATCAACCGCACATGAAACTACCCTCACCGGAGGCTCGTGCTACTACTACACCAGCGAGGCGCCGCTGTGCTATTACTTTTTCTAAGCACTTTCATAGAGCTAGACACATGTTTCGGCCTTAGAGCCTCATCAGGAGCACGGTGCTTTAAAGGTATTGGCGCTGAATTGTTTATAAAATCATTGCATTTTGAGTGATAAATCCCCAGGCATTACAATGATCACCAGTGGGCTGTTCTGCAATGTTATCAGATTGTACGTTGTTTTGAGCGAGGCTTATAAAAACAGTCAAATGTAAAGCTATTTAAATTCATTAATTTTACCGCTTTCTAGCAGTGACATGATGATGTACATGCAACTAAGAAGACTGAGTGGTACGCAAAAACTCTACCTCAGACAGGAGTCGAACCCGCCTTTCTCTCTTACTGAGGACGCGTGCTACCACTACACCACAAAGGCCATCGCTTTGCTGCCAGTCTCTCATTATCCACTGATAAAGCAGTAAACCTAATGAATTCAATTAGATTGTTCTGATAAAGATCTAAATACGCACTCTATTTTGAAATTTTGTCTCGCTCCCTTGCTTGAGTCCTTCATGTTTAACAGGTCTGTAGGTGTAAATTAAGAGCTATCACGATGGGGACACGCGTCGCGTCATTCTCCGTGTTGATTGTGTCGCGGGCCGGTCGGCTTGATCGATTCGGGGTCTAACATCAGTTTATGTCAGGTATTTCCTTTGTTTTTTTAACTTAAGGGCATATTAAATAGAATATCAAACTGGAACCTAAGCAAATGTCATAGAAGTGCTGCTTTGCACAGATCTGCACTCACCAAATTACGCATCTGCCTCCTATAATCTCTTATCTGTTACCACATCGTCGCATTCGACGATGCTCAAGAAATTTTAGAAAATAACAAACTGTCATAAAACCATCCGTCAAATTTTTTCTGATGAATATGAAGAGCTGTGTTTTCAAGTTTTGCCTTTACTCGGCTGCTTCGGTACTTCATGTAAAACGAGTCTAAACTCGTAAATGCCCGATGTCACAGTGGGTGTGGGCGCAGCGCTACCGCAGCGTTTCGATCGGTCAGTTTGTTCAAGTTAATGCCTTTCCTTTATTTCTCCCAGAAATTTTTGCTTATGTCGATTTTTCTAGCGTCTTATTGACGGATTGCGTCGGATATTCGCAGGTTTTTCTATGACGTTTCTAGAGTCGTTCTTCTTCTTTATAAAGTAATGATCGCTTTCTGTTATTTATAAGACAAGAAAAAGTAAAGCAAAGAGCAATTCTGAAGCAGTTATTCCTATTCATCATCCTATAAACATCTAATTGATTGTCGGATTATTGAATTATTTTTTAGGTCACTGAAGAGACGATCAACCTCACGACGGATTTATGGGCAGAATGTAAACTTTTTAGTAAGTATATGCTCTTTTCATTCAATACTAATTCCTGTTGTCTGTGAACATATAAAAAATCTTATTGAATCTTTTATGAATATCCAATGCAAACATGCGAAAAGTTCACTTCTTCCATAATATCTTTCGCATTTCAACACTTTTGTTGATACAATTGTTATTTTTGGAAAAATAAATTGATCAGTTGTATGTCACACCTATATTTTCGACTATTTTTCAAACCTCGCTTAGAAAAATATAATCTGTTAAGTATAACATGATCTGATTCTATCACATTGCGTCAAGTGCAAATATTTCGGCGCCGGTTCCTTTATGTAGGGGACATCTCCCCGCCAGAAACTGGCTGAACCGAAAGGCACCGTGCAACTGGCGAGGCTGTGAGGCCAAAACACATGTGTCGTACCATAGGTGTGCCCTAACAGACCACTTGAAAGTTCAGAATATATTACCACATTAAATTTTCTAGGCGAGCTTCCAAAGACAGTCAAAACGACAATATGACAATATATGTTTTACCAGCCACGAGCAGTCGGCCGTACAAACTGCCTGTTGGTGATTTCATCACCTAACGACAGACGTGAATATTTCGGCGTCGGTTCCTCTATATTGGGAATATCTCCTCGCAAAAACTGGTTGAGCGCAAAAGCACCGTGCAACTGACGAGACTGTAACGCCGCGACACATGTCTTGCACTATATAATTGCCATAACGGACCTCAAGAAAGGCTCAGAGCATGTTATCAACAAAAAAAATTACCATCATGATCAATGGCTAGTCATTAATTGCTGAAAAAAGATTGAACACTTTCTTTTAGAAAAAATGAGGCCCAAAGAAGTCGGTGACGTTAGTTTTGAAGTGGCTCTAATCGCGCTGCATGTGTGGCCATCTGCAAAAGCCTTCTTTAGCGACCGCACAGGCAGGACTTCCTCAAGTCGATCATTAGCGGAGATGAGTTCTGGATCTACTACGAGAAGAACACATACCACGCCTGCTGGCTACCTCGCGGCAAGAACCCACGAGCTCAATCAAAGCAAAGGCTCTATGTTAGAAAAAATATGCTCTTGGTAATCTGGACATTGGCAGGACATGCAGTTTTTGGAGTTGCTACACAACAAGCAGAAAATCTATGCCGACGTCTACGAAAACGTCTCCGGAAGCTGGCCACAACAGTGCGAGAGAAACAACCGAAACGAATCAGTGTCGCTTGCCCTCCTGAATAGCCCTCGACTCATATTGCAAAGTCGACTCGCCACGTTAGAGGAACTGGGCTGGACCACGGTACCACATTCGCCGTATAGCCTTGATATTGTCTTGTCGGATTATTATCTCTTCCGCTCCAGAATCTGCGGGACAAAACTTCAAAAACTACAACTAGCTCAGTAATAGTCTCACCGACTTCTTTGATCGCCAGCCTCGTTTTTTTTTTTTTTTTTTTTGAAAGAAAGGCATTCAAACTTTCAACAACAAGTGACTACATATCATTAATCATGATGGCGATTTTGTTGATTGATCGATTTCTTAAAAAAAATTATAATCGTACTAATGAAGGGTCAAAATGAGACAGAAATTATGAGGCAGGCCCAATATGTTAGAGTAATAGTTACTACTGTTGTGAGCATTTCATCGTTTACGTTAGAAGTTGGAAAACTAAATGAGTTCGAAAAGTTAGAAGAAATCAAATGAAGAAAGTCGGCATTGAAAAAGTCGAGCAACCATGCTCTGCTTAATACTGTGATTCATACATAGGTCGTCAACGGATCAACACACCCAATTACCATGACGCAAAATCAAAACCTGAAAACGAGGCCACATCACTCGGTTACAACCGTCTACTACGTATGAGGTGAGAGACATATTTAAAAGAATAAAGAAAAATGCGTAAGAAACACACGTGATTTCCAAGAAGTGCTTCTCAAAATCGTTCTTTGAAGAACTCCTATTGAATGTAAATTTTGTAAACGATCCAAAAACTTTACGAATCGTTGGGGAGTGCGAGAAAATCGATCGAGAAGCCTTGGGTAGTAGTTGCACACAGATTATCAACTTGCCTGAACAAACATGTTCATATTTATTGTCTTAAAGTACTAGGAATTTAGGAGAACTTGCGCTTTGATATCGACAAACTAACCAGTGATCTACTCGATTCTATCCTAGAAATCGGATAACCTTTTGTCTATTACGGAAAGTTGAAATCGAACAAGTCAACAATACTGCGTACATTGTAGGGCACTTCTAATGACACATGACAAGCAACTGTTTCTATAAAATTGAAAACAATTCTACATAGATAGGTATAAAAAGTTGAAAAGTGTGCTGTAGCAACCAAAGAATATTCGGATTCTCACTTCGCAAGTAATTCTTTGCGTTCAGAGAGTGTGCGTGACCGTGTACCGATCGCGCAGTTGCTTGGTTGCTCAGCGCGATCCACATGTAGCATGCGATTTTTGTTATTGTTTAAAGGGTTTTTCTCCAGTTGGAAAAAACCTCTAGATAAAATTAATGATTCTCAATCTCCAAGATTTCTTCTAAACATTCGTGTTTTTTTTCGTGCATAAACTTAGGCTGCTTAGGCTAAGACTTAGTAGTGCGTTTGATTGATGTTACAAAATGACAATGAAAACCATAAGCCCACAGAAACGATAGAAAAAATTCTTTTACAATTACAATACAAAAACCTAGGATTCCCTCCTAGCGGAGAAAAACTTTTATATAAATTACGAAATACTGACGAAAATGCGCCAAATCAGAACATAATTTCATTTTTCGTGCTACAGCGCACTAAATAGAGCAGAAAACTATTTGTTTTCAAAGGATTAAAAAAGTGTGCTGTTGACAGAAAATACCTTATCTTGTTAGTCACTATTGTTCACACTCAGTACATTAGAACGCACTTCTTTCATTCGAAGTTCAGAATTTCCAAACTGAGTGAAGGAGAATTAGAATATGCGCCGATCGTCATACTGGAGATCGTTCCTCATTCAGCAATGTTGATGAATGTCAGCAGTAACGACTGCTATTTACTTATTTTTCTGTGTATCTTTCACGCGTGCCTTATCCCAAACACTTCCCACATTCCTTCCCCGTGTCTACCTCCCCATAACCATAAACCATTTACCGTATCATGACATAACGTGATGTACACTTGCATATATACCTCACCCCTTTGTTGTCGGGAGGAATATAGATACCATTTACCATGAACCATCGAGAGTTGTCTATCCTTTTTTAATCAAATTCACTTAAACTTCGTCGTGTAGTTTCACATGGATTTGAGATACAAGCCATTGTATTGCTTTCATATATACTTCCCTAAGAAGCGACAACATCACTATCACATGTACTATATCAAGCTTTCGTGCAGCTCCATATGTACTTTCTCTACAAACTAGCTTTCTAAAATCTCCTGTTGAGCACTAACTCCGATTCTTTCTGTCAAAACTCAACAGTTGGCTCTTTATTGTTATAACCTCAACAATTGCTCTCATATAGATAGCTTAAAAATAATTATAAAAGTATATTGAAATTTGAGCGTGGTCTTAAGAAAACACTCGAAACGAACGTTACTGCTCTCATATTGACTACATTTGTGTGATTATGCTGCTGTTGTAACGATAAATTCTTAACTCAAGCTCGAGAATTTGTTCTGTGGGAACATCACTAAAAGGCTCGTGGGCAAACTAGTACAAAGTCGAGCATTCTGTCTTAAGTTAGCAAATATTCGCAGACTTCTCAGACTTCTTCTCTTCGTGAAGCAAATCCTCTACAATGTTACTCTATTCACCGTCGACAAATTATGATCCATCAAGCGTGCTTAATGTTCTGAACAAACTTTAAGTCAGGATGGTTTTTAAAAAATAGTTTTAAGCGTTTGCTTCTTTCCCTTTGTAGAATAATCTTCTACAAAAGAGGCAACGACTTAGTTTTATGAAGTCTAACTCTGGGACAACAAGTAAGTCGGGTAGACAAGGCATCCGATTTGCTACAATTGGTAGTCTCCATTCGGATATTTCCACATTGGACATTGAGAGTATGGCAACTG